TCCACTATCAACAGCTCCTACTAATTTAATATCCATTGGACGACCTAATAATTGAGTTGTTTATAACATATTGAATTTCTTTTTTTTTTTTATTGATATATGACTTACCATCAAGATTAAGGCCGTTATATTTTTGTTGAGCAGTAGTTGCATCAACACGACGTTCAAAAACAACTTCAGCTGTACCTAAAGATTGACCATTTTCATCGAAATGTACATGTGCTGTACGAACAGCTCCAATATCTTCAAATAATTCCTTGAAATAAAATATACGAAATTAATTTTAAATTAATATATGAAACAAAAAAATTCTATTTTACTTGAATATCACTTTTAGTTACACCATAATCAAGATTAGATATAACTAATTTCGTGGTACTATTAACACCACTATTTCGTTGTATACCTCGAACTCGATTAGTACTATCATCATAAAGGTCATGTTTCCAACGACCTGCTGGTGCATTTGATGTTCGCGGCTAAATATATACAAGAAATTTGTGAGAATAATCAAAATAATAAAAAAATAAACAATTACTAGTCCACCACCGCCACGAGCTCGAAATCCGTTGATTTGACCACCTCCTCGACCGCCGCTACGTCCCTGAAATCCTCGTTTACCACCACGACCGCCACGCCGAATCGTTGTACGATCCATTCGAATGATATCGTCGAGACCAAGACCAAGTTTATCCGAGTCGGCCATTGCTATGTTGCTTTCGAACTGCTGTTGTTATGAATAAACGATGATGATGATGGAGATGATGGAGTGGCGTTAATCTAAAAACTTCATTCTTTTTCTGTGTGGTACATTGGCTGTTGTTTTAAATTATTTTGAACTGGATTATTAAGAATACATATATAGTAGTTTTGTATAATTAAACACTGCAATCGAATAAGATAACAAAAGCTGTACAGCAGTCCGGCTGTGTTTTGTTATTGCCGTCGACGAGGTAAACCCCGTGGACACACATTCGCGGTATTCGTCGTCAAACGAATTTAGCGAATTGTGCTCATGCATTCTATTCATTCTTGACTTTTTAGTTTCCTAATATTTTCTTAAATTTTCATACTTGATATATTCAATAAAGTGAGGAACAACTCGGGATAATAATTAGTAAAAAAACGAACAAACCGCCGAACAACACTACAAGTATAAAATGATAATGCCAGGAGAGGAGAAGAAGAAAATATAAATGAATGAAAATTTGTTGATTGAAAAATGTTGCAAAACAAAGGAAAATATGACTATGTTTATTTTTTTCATAACCATATTGAAAGTCATCGTAAATTGACCTCTATTCAAAAGTTTCAACTGAAAAAGAAAACATTTTACATAGTTTAGAAAATTTTAAAAAATCTCATTTGAATACTATTTCTCAATTAAAAGTCTCTGATTTACAATATTTTAATTAAAAATATTAGTACAAAGGGCCACCTATTTTCTCATTGGCTGCATCTATTGTCATGTGAAAAAGACCAAAGATACCCAATGAGTCAATAACTAGGATAGTACGCATTGATTCATTCATTTCGAAAAGAAAAAAACAAGCATGTCTCAAGAGCGACGTCTTCACAATAATTCAAATGATGACGATGCAATGAATAATCGACATCAAATGGAATACGAAATTGCGTCTGATAATTTAGAATTCATTCCAACATTTCTTAAAATAAAACAAATAATTCTTCTTCGACACAGTGATTTTATTAATTTACTTAATGAATTTAATGATACATTGGAGAAATTTACAAGAGATGAACCATATTATTTACGATTTACTATTGTACCACATTCCGATTCGAATGTATTTTGGAAAGCACTTATTCGCATAAAATGTTCAAAAGTAGATGAAAAAAAAATTCTTTTTTATTCGATTTTTAACTTACTTTTCTTGTTTTCGTTTTTTTTTGTTAAGATTTCAAGAGCAGATCAAAGTAGATTGAATGAAATTGTTTTAAGTTTACAACAATTCTTATCTGTACATCAATCATTATGTCAACAAATAGCAATATTACAAAAATGTTCATCACCAACATTATATAATTCATCACCAACAGATCAAAATTCTTCATCATTCTCAACAGCAAAATTGTTCGTAGAATAAATAATATTTTTAAATAATTCATCTAGTTTGTTAAGTTTTTTTTTTAAATAGATCTTTTAGCATATCTAATAATGATAATGAATGTTGTATTTGTATGGATCGTAAACCAAATTTAGTTTTGCCTTGTACACATAAATTTTGTGATGAATGTTTTCATGAATGGTTAGTTTCCCTTTTTTGTACATATTCTTATTTCAATCATCATCATTATCATATTATTCTATCTTCTGTATAGGTCTTCTCAAACATCACCTACATCATCTCAAACATGTCCATTATGCCGTGTCGATGTAAATAGTGATAGTGGTTTTGTACTTGCCGAAACACCAAAATATGATAATGTTAAAAAGATGCTTACAGAATCTATACTATCATTACCAATTGATTTAAAAAATCGTGCTAATGATGGCACATCAATGATTCGAAGCTATCGCGAATGACATTTTTTTTGTATCAGTTTATCTGATATAATGTATAAATATTATTTTTTTTTTTATAAACATGCTCCTTGTATTCCTTTTTGTTTTATTTTTGGGACTATTTATATGATTTAATGTACGTGTATATATAAAATTTGTGCAACACAATATTTAAAATAGCATGTCGAAATAAAAACAAAACAAAAGCAATTAACAAATTTTTCTTTTCCATGTTCGGTATAAAAACTTTCTTAAAGAAAAAAAACTCATATAAAAGGTAATATTGAATCTGATTTAGTTTCTAGATTCTATTGAGTCAAGAATGAACTTTCATGATTATTTAATATATGCCAAATTACAATTGGTAGGAGAAAAGCATTTGCATGTAGAATGATAAATATTTTTCTACAATGTATTGATAAATACTAAATGATTTCTCGTCAAAAATTGCCATGTTTGAGATAAATATCGAGGTGCATCTTCGAAGATATCTTTTTTCTTTAATAATTCATAAAAATAAATTTTTAATTTTGAAACATTTCTGAGAGATATATCGGAAGTGTCTAAAGATATCTATGGTAGTATTCCTGTGTAAATCTAGGTAAAAACTGAGTACTGGCATCTGCTATTAATTGTATGTATTACTAGAAACATAGTATAATATGGTTTGGATAAGTTTAGTGTTTGATATTTAACACGATCGTGTCTAATGATAAGCAAGAAAAATGCGAGATAAAAATTTTTAATGTTTCCCTTAAACCAAACTTTTGTATTGATGATCAAACTCTTAATAAATATCTTTTCAGTACATTTTGTTCAAGAGTACTCAGGGATTTTTTCATTCGATAATATAGTACTTGCATTTAGGATGAGAAAAGAGAGATCAATGATAAACATAAGGTAGATTTTTAGAAATGTAATTATGATCATGGTTTAGTGATTCGAACCGATAACAATTATGGACTGGTAATCGGTATTTACTAGCCGCATGTAATACCTAATGAAAAATGTGTGAGTTTGATTTTCTCGTCAAGAAAAGTCTATTTTACAAACATAATGATTATCTATTACATTTAACTAAAGATTGTCATTCTCGAGGAGTCTGAATTCCTAATCGATTTCTGAAAATATTCGAGTATGATTTCTCAAACCTGACAATCTTTATTTTCGTAACATAGATTTTTCTTGACAAAAAAGATCAAATGCAGAAAATTTCTATTAGCTGTTACCGGTGGACTGGTTATCACAATTATTGCATTCCTAGGTAGTTTCTCTAAACAGTTTGATATGATATTTCTAGATCTTCTAGGTTTTGACTTCCAGAAAATAAAAAGAAAACAGTATCAATTCATAAAGTCCTTCCTCTTATTCGAAGTAGTGTAGAGCTTTCTTTCCATCAAAAGAACCTCATAGTCTGTCATTTGACGTATAGTGACGGATATAAGTTTATGGCTATTGTATTTTTGACTATTTCTAAAAACTTCAATGGGATTGCTTGGACGAGAATGTCTGGAAAATCAGTTTTTAGAACTCATTTGATGCTTTGTGGGAATGATTTTATTTGAGAAAGCAAAATGAGATGTTTCGACTCTCTTCATGACCTTTCTTTGTCGAACTGCATTCAATTTATAGACGGTTTCAAAGCGGTAAACACGACAAAAATGATTGAAATTTTTCATAAAAACAAAGGAAAAATGCTTCTTGGGTCTTCGGTAAATATTGAATGCAGTTCGATGTAGGAATATAATGAAGAGAGTTGAGACATCTCATTTTGCTCTATCAAATAAAATCATTTCAAAAAAGCTTCAAATAGATGTCAGAAAACTGGTTTTGAAGATCTTGGTTTTTCAGACATTCCCATCCAAGCAGTTCTATTGAAGTTTTTAGATTCACCAATCTTGATAGAGAATCCTTTTAGAGACTCAAATGTTTTTTCAAACTCCTCCTAACTATTACCATCGAGAAGAGAACCCAAAAATACAACTGCTCAAAATTTTTATTCGTCACTATATACTGGAAATTAAATTGCACGTCTAAGAAGTATTCTAAACGTTGATGTTCGGACAATTTTTTAATGTTAAACTTTGGAAATGATAATTAAGCTTTATGGATACCTCTATTGATTTAACATAACTAAAAACTTTCATTAAAATTCCATGTACTATATCGAAAAACTAATTTTGAGAATACGGGAACTTGAAAATCAATACATTGTGATAGAAAAATATTGCTCATTATTAATTGAAAATATATCTATATTCAATTAAAAGACTAACATTAATCAATTTCGTCTGATACGAATCGTTTTGGGTAATGAATCTTGTGATTTGGATTCAACTATAAGTGCTTGCGTCTATGCATATTTTCTTCATATTGTATGTTAAATAAAATAAAATAAAATTATTGAATTTAATCATTGAGTTTTCAAAATTAGACTTGTTCAAATCAAAATGAAATTCTTTATTTACCTATAATGAATACTAATCCATCAACATTTCGTTTACGTACTGAAATTCGTTGGTTTCTGAAAGAGAATTATTCAAATGTTATATTTATTGATGATATTAATTTAAATGAATTATATGATAAGAAAAAACTTGAAATAATTCTTGTTGATCATCATTATTTACGTTCACAATTAAATAAAGTTGTAATAGAAATAATTGATCATCATCAAATAAAAGAAGATTCAATTATTTTACAAAAGTATTGAAAAAACAATTGTTTTTTGTTTGTTCAAACAAAAATTCTTTTATTTTGTTTTATGAATCAGTTCATCGGCAATTAAAATTGAACTAGTTGGTTCATGTTGTACATTAATTGCTGAAAAATTACTTACATCAAATTTTCAAATGACAGAAGAAATTGCATATTTATTAACTGTTAATTAAATAAACAAAAGAAATTTAAGAAAAAAATTTATTTTTCTTTTCTTTCTTCAAGGACCAATTTTATTTGATACAATTAATTTTTCACCAAGTGCTGGTAAAACAACAGAAAAAGATTGGCAAATCTATGCAAAGCTTCAAAATTTTCGTTCACACTCTGCTGATGATTCAGAATTATATAGAAATTTAAGACAAAGTTCTTGTGATGTAACAGGTAAATGAAATTTTTTAAACAAATAAAAATATATTTAAAAATTAAATATATAGGATTATCGGTTCAAGATTTATTACAAAAAGATGCTAAACAAATTGTTACACCAAATTTGCGTCTTATTATGTCCAGCTTACCAACGAATTATACAGTTGAAGTAAGCCTTCTCATAGAATAGTAGTTCACTGAATTTTGAACTTATTTCGCAAGTCAAAATTTTAGATGGGCTTCTATTGCGATCAACTTTTTTTGTCTTGTAGCTATGATTCGATTCCGCTTGCAAGCACAGAAGTGCACAAGATTCGATAAATTGAAGTTTTCAAACTGTCTGAGAACTTTGATAGTTCTCGATGGACCAAGAATTGACTTCTATACGTTTCTAGTTCCATGTTATCAGATAACTTGAGTAATGCGTTCATTACGCTACTTTTCTCATTCACATGTTCATCTGTCATCAATATTTCGTGCATCTTAAGAGAGATACCCCCTACAATATGCTCTCAAATTTGGTTCGCTTGCAGAGAAAACTTTCAAATGTCAGAATATTATAATATCTTTTGGATTGAATAAGATCTAACAGAAGTTAGGGAATTTGCTTATTTGATGTCAGTAGAAAAAAGTAATCCTTATTAAATCTCCTACTCTTACAATGCTTTTCAGGAAATTTTTCTTTCAGAAGAAATGTCGTTCTCCTGAAGTTCAAGGCTCTAAGATATATGTTTGAGAGTGAGGTCTAGCATACTATGAAAAATAGAGACTGTGAAGTTATACACTTTAGCATGACTTGTTTTGAATGAAAGTTTGTATGTACAAGTGTCTATCCAAATTGGACGCTGTATTAAAGAAATATAAAATTTATTTTTGGTAATTTTGATATAGTTTAGAAGATGAAAAAGATCACTGAAAATAATGGTATTTTAGAATTAAAATGTCGATGTTTTCAGTGATTTTTGCATATTCTATGTTATATCAAAATTATGGCACGGATTAATTGTTTTTATATTTCTTCAATACAACATCCAATTGTCGTGTAATTTGGAGATAATATACCTGATGATCAGGCACTTGTACATACAAAATTTTATTGAAAACGAATAATGCTAAAACTTATAATTTAACGTTTCACAAAACCTCTATTTATCATGGTACGCTGGACTTCATCTTCTGACGCATTGTGGTGCCTTCAATTTTAGGAGAATGACATTTCTTCTGAAAGAAAAATTTTCTGAAAGACATTGTACGAGTAGGAGACTTGATGAGGATTACTTCTTCTGCTGACATCAAATTTTGTAAATTTCATAACCTCTGTTAGATCTTATCCAATCCAAACGATACATTAATATTTAGATACTTGGAGGGACTTCCTATAAACTGACTAAATTTGAGGGTGTGTTGTATGAGGGATCCCCACCTTTAATATTTTGCTTTGAAAAATAATTGAGCTTTGGAGAAGTTGAGAAAAAACATGTATGAGGCATCTATCAACACTTTTGTACAGTTCAGAAACACAAGAAGATCTATTTCAATTAGCTTGAAAGAATTATAAAATAAACTTTTTACTACCAAATGAGAGTTTCTCATTCTTGTGAAACAGGTAGTTCAGATCTTATGAATGTTTCGATAATGTATATTGCACTCATCTCATACTAGCACTTTTTTTGAGTCCAAAAATTGGTCATGTAATTTCAATCGATCATCGTTCAGTTTTGTGAGATGTTTCATTTTTCAGTTAAAGATTTGTTTATATTTCTGTTACCTTAATCAAAATTTACTTCGTTTCATTTCTAGACTATGTGTAATCCTAAAACGGTAACAGTATTGAAGATGATTTACATGACTATTTTGCGTTCATTCAGCTAAAGTGGGATTCTATTACATTTGGAAGATTATCAGCTTGAGATTGGACTTCTATTCTGTGGGGAAGATTAGGTAATATATTCTTATTATTTCACCTTTGTCTTTTCTTAGAAATTAATTGGAGAGTTAAAAACAATGAACGATATAAATGAATTTTTATTAAAAAATGATAATGCTGATGGTGTTATTATGACTTCTGTAGAAATTAAGAACGAAGAAACAAAACGTCAATTAGGTTTTTATATTAAAAAAATTGAATACATACAACCGATTTATGAATATATTCAAAGGAAAGAACTTAAACTTAATTTACATGAACGTACTTTACCGATGAATCACCAACATATTAAATTTTTTGATCAAAAAAATGTTCATGCATCTCGTAAACAAATATTACCATTTATTGAAAAATTTATCAGAGATTTTATTTAATCAAATTCATCTTCGATATTTTTATCAATCCGTTTAACTCCATTACGTTTTAGTTATGCAACTAAATGTTTTTGAAATTTGAATTCACTTTTTTTGTTATAAGTTTAAATGCTAGAATATTTTGATAAATAAAAATTTTAAATATGAATTATAATTTATTCAAGTTGTTTTATTTTTCTACATATAAGATCAATAGCTTTACATTTCATTCTACTCTAGCCATTCGATAAATGATGCAAATAATTCAAGAAATTGTAAATATGTGGTTTTCATTAATCGATAGAGGAACCTCAGGGATATGAGAGTATACAGAAATCAAAGCTTGTAGTACTCTTCAGAAAATTTTATGTGCGAAATTGCTTAAAGAATAGACTCGTTGGATCATGAAATCTGAATGAATCGGATTTAAATTTGTAGTGTATGTAACCCAACGGTAGTCTAATGTGCCCTAAAAATTTCATCGACAAAAACTCTTATAGGATTTCAATAGTACCGAAGTTATCAGCTCGTTCTGTAGAAGGTCTCGATGCACGTCCTATTTGAGTTAACGGACTGATCTTTTGTGTGAACGAATATCGTAGTCTAGACTTCAATACAATGCGATCACGTCATAACTTGCTCGCACAAATGAGGAAAATCGACGAAAATACTACTAGGGATTATATTTTTCTCCAAGAAAGCCGGCGTGTTCTACTCTGAAAGTTGTAGAGATTAAAAATTAGTGTTTTGTTGCATTTTCCTCATTCCTGTGAATGAGTTATGATGTTACTGCATTGAATTGAATTCTAGGCTACGATATTTATCCATACAAAAGATGAGCCCATTAGCTCAAATAGAACGTACACTGGAGTCTTTTGCTGGGAATGCTAATGACGTCTATGTCATTCAAGTCCGTTAAGAGATTTTTCGGTAAAATTTTCAGGACACATTGAACTACCTTTGGGCTATGTACTCTACAAATTTCAATCCGATTGATTCAGATCTCATATATTCGAATGAGCCTATTCTTTAACAAATTTCACAAATAAAGTATTGTAGAGAGTACTATAATCCTTGGTTTCTCTATACGTTTACATTTCTTAGAGTCCTTTATCGGTTAATGAAAACTATATATTCATAACTTCTTGTTTCCTTGAATTATTGGCGCTATACTCACGCCTCTTTAATTCTGGCATCGACAATTGGTGAAGGCAGACGACGACTTTTTCCGAATGCCATGTATATGAAACACTTGCTTTTTGTTTCGAAATCAAATTTTTTAGCTTTTAACACCGATGTAGATTAGAAAAGAAATGGCAATTCGTTTCAAAATACGTGCACTTAAAGAAACATGTCCACGTTTGTTTTCGACAAATTTTGATCTTCAAAGGAAGCGTTTTCGATCTGCTTTACCGAGAAGAGAATGACATCCGAGCAGCTGTGTGCACAAAAAAAAACAATTCTATTAGTGCGCAGATGGTGCACGGTGCTGAACATATTTAAAGGTTATGTATGTTTGTATAATGAAGACATAGAAGATTATTGGTAGAAATTTCCAGATGATCTAAGTTAAGTTTCTTGCATAGTTCTATCTTAATTGTAACTAAGGAATGCAAGTTCGAGTCATCACTTAAATACGATTCAGCATTTAGTCATAAAAAAAGTCATTACCTTCTCAAAAACGTCTTGAAAATCTGTCTCAATGGACAAATATTACTGTGAGTCGGTGAAAATATTGACTTTTATACTAGACTTTGAATGCATTGCATAGATTTATTAATCTAGTAGAATGAGAAACAAGTGTTTGAGTCTGGTCACAGTGTTTTATCTAGACTTTCTCTTTCAAAGGAATGACTTAAAACTCCGTGAGAGCGAACATCTATCTTTGAGAGCACAGACACAAATACATGGAAGAACCACAAATTCTGGGAAGACCTACTCGGTCTTCGGTGAGATGCCTCCCCATCAGTCCTCCGACACCTGATAAGACACGGTCTACTCTTGCTCATTCAAACCTCATTGTTTTCGCCTCCATCATCTATCTCTGTCGTAATAAAAAAAAAAAAGTAGTTCATTCATATCATTTTATTGACATACGCACAAAAAAAAGGCCACAAACAAAATCCAGAAAACACAAGGAAAAGAAAACAGTTGCAAACATTGTTTTTTTTTTTTTTGATAACCTGGCATTCTTATTGAAGAAGTTTTGTGTTCAGTTTTTTCGATATTTTAAAATCAACTTCAGTCAAATAGCTTTGAAAAAACGAAAGACGAACTAATCTTTAATATAGAGCATTGTGTATATCTCATCGAACTACCGTAGTCGGCTGTTGTTTTATATTGGCTATATTATTTTTTACAAGATGTGAATGCATTGTTAATACATGTTGTGAAAAACGGCTTCGTCCTTGAAGTATTTCACCACAAACTTTACAACGAACACGAACATTTTCATCATAATCAGGTGTCTAAAAATGAAAAATAAATAAGTATTTGAATTTTAATCGTTCTCTTGAACGACGTCAATTATCTATATATTTTCTTCTCTGTTGGATACTTAGATATTATTGAAGAAGATAAAAATAGTTGTGAACAAATATTTGAATAAATTAAAACGATTTATTTGTACTAAACAACATAAGCTCTTTTTTTTGCCATTTATAATCTCTCAGAATGATACATTAGGGTAGTTTTTGATTTTGTTTTGCTGTAGAAAATTAAATTTTCTAAAACATTGCGAATTATAACAAGTTAGAACTGAAACGAATTAAAGACTGTAAATATTTTTCGAATAGCTATTCTTTACATGAGACGAAGTTTTTCAAAAACTATTCGTTTTTTTTTTAACTTGACATATTTGAATTAGAACAGGTTTCTATCATTTGTAAATATATGTCAAAAAAGAAGACAAATATCGATTTTACAAAACTTTGCTTAAAAGATTTTTTGATAAATGATACTTTCTAATAGTTTGAATTGAGATAGTTGTAATTAAAATACAGAAATGTACTACATGAAATATTTTCATCAGAGCTGAACAAGAAAGTCTCACAAGTGATTGGTCGCTTTTGAGTCATGACTATATGCATTTTATAGACTCGAGTGAACTATGAATGTCCTGAATAGAGTTCGGACTCTTAGCTTATTGGTGTGGAGATATTGCAGTTTAACAGTATTTTTTTTTAACTCGATGCCGTAATTCGTCGTAGGAACAGGCCTTATCGAGAATAGTTTATTATGAAAATTTCAGATCTTTTCAATGTTCCTACCCTAAGATACGACTATGGTAAAAGTGTATCTGGTACATTCGATGATCTTAATTCAGATTCAGGATAAATCAAAAGCCTAGAAACTTTTACAATAAATTCTTCTCGCTAAAGTCTGTCTCTGTGTTAAATTTCTATGCGGAATTCAAAAATCAGTTTTCCTGATGTTCCTCGAAAGAAAACGGCATCTACACCCAAATATATTGTAAAACTAGAGTGTCTCCACAGCAATAAACTAAGAGCTAGAGTTCTTTTCAGGTTATTCATAGCTAATTTAAATCTACACGATGCACATAGTTCCAATTCAAAAGCAACTTATTAGTTGAGGGACTTCCCTCTTGAGTACAAGACATACCAAACTTTGCTCTTGTTTTACCTACTTCACTGTGAGCCAACTGAAGTGACACAATAGTGAATAAATAAATTTTTGATTAAAATTCTAAAGTCACACAATTGTCAGTTAAATGAACTAAGATATCTTCAAGATTGAAATGAGAATAAAAGAAAATCGAAGAATGACAACAATGATTACAAGTTTACTGTAAAAAAAAATACTAGCTGACTTTATATCTGATTATGAATGTTAAAATAGATGTGGACCAACAACTGATACATTAATAATTTTTAAAAAAAGATAACATGAAAAATTTCACTCTTCATCTCTCAAAGTGCTACATCAATTCATTTAAAATTATATACTTTAACACGTCGCAAAAACTAATTCCTGAGAGTGCAATTAATTATATTAAAAAAAAAACAAACTTGTCTTAACTCAGAATAATTAGATAAGATCTTCTTATCATTGTTTTTCTTTATGTATTATTAGTTTAAAAGGTATTCATATTATTTCGATGGAAAGAAAAATAAGTCGATTGAAAGATGATGACGAAGAATTCGACATCTATTCGCCAAAATAGAAAATGAAAGTAGAAGCTTTGTCTGTTCTGCAAGATGTCTTGTTCTGTGCAACAGGATAAAACAAAATAAAGTTGTCCATTGTTCCTTACACTAAAGCTTATTTTAAAGGACTTCCTTTTTTAGCCTGTATCAAAATTTTTCTCTCAATGAATCAACTTTAATCCAGTAAAAAAAACCATAAAATTCTCATTCTACCTAACTATTTTTAATTCTCTTCAATAACATATACATGGAGGAAAAAATTAAATAAACATCTTATACAACGATCTTCTACAAAGATTAATTCACTAGAATAAACTAACGAGGGCACATCTTTAGATCTTCCAATTTCAATGATTTTGTGTCTATATGATACTACAAAGTGTTCTAATAAAAACCCTAAAAAGATTTCAGTTCCTATTGAGATTGACTAAGCTATCAATTTTTTTCTAGAGGGTCCACATTTCGAAAAGCCTGAAGTCTAGAAAATAGACATATTAAAAATTCGATAGAAATTCAAACCTTTTAAGGTTTTTATTTGAACACTATGTAGTATCTATAGGCAAAAACTCATTGAAGCTGAAGGAAGGGACATTTGAATAGGTTCCCTCGGAAGTAGATTCTCTTTTCTCCATAAATTCAATTAGCTATTATATTCAACGTTGAAATAGGATTCTAGAATTACCTGATGACCATTAGTTTTGTATATACCATTATCATTAACAGATTTTTCTGATTGATTTTTATTCGATGATGGAATTATTTGTTTAATTGACGGTGGTGAATGACATATAATAATTTCTTCATCATCTGTTTTTGATTTAACTTTTAAATTTTCAATATTATTTAATGATGATA